GGGCACACACATAAACACATGCCCGGTGTGAGTTTAAAGCCTCCAGGTCTGGGACTTGAACCATAGTCGACTACGTGGGAGTCCAGCGATGAAACCATTGCACCTTCTGCTGGTCCCAGTATTTTATGAAAGCAACAAGATGTGTGTAAGTTTTTGTTTGTTTATTTGTTGTTATAAACTCTTGGTTCCATTTTTAAACAGGGCTTTGTCATTTTTTTTCCCACGGGGGAAGGGATAAGTCAGTGTCTCTTAGAGGCGAGTGGGAGGACAGACTTCCTGGGAATTTTTTCCAGGAGGATGGCAGAAGGGAAATGAAAGCAAGAAGAGATAGAGACCACCACCAGAGTTATGTCCTACTTCGTCATCAGGGTAGTCTGCTCAGAAGCAGCCCAGAGGCTCGGTCACGTCAGCGGACTGAAAATAGCCATGAAGTCGGGAAACCTGTGACCCACCCACATCTATGACATTACCCTCTGTGTGACCTGGGATGAGACGTATTTTCATTCCAAATCTCAGTTTCTCTTTACAAGATGGGGACAGTGCAGCCAATGGGGAAGGTGAGTGCTACAGTTTAGAAAGGTCCAATGTGTTCAGTACACATGAGGTTGGTTGGTCTTGGATATTTATGACTTAGAGTTCCTTAACGGTCAGCCCTATTTAGGTCTCCATCCCAGCCACCCCTGGAGTATCCCTTGAGAGGACAGTTGTATTATAAGCCAAGTTTTATCACTAGACAGAATTCTTTAAAACAAAGCAAGAGTTATTTGTTGATAAAGAGGCCAATGAGAACATTGGGGGAAATAAGGAGAATTAAAGTTTATTCCAGAGAAGTCATGTGGGTGACTGAGACTTGTGAGGATGAAGTTTTCCATCTCCTCATACACAATACATGCATATTGATGCCTTTTAGATGCCAGGCTCAAGGAAATGTCTTTATCTGTGTCCATGCCAAGACTATCTTGCTGCATATTTCCCTTGTGGAGAGCATGCCTCAGGATGAGCACAGAGAGTGGGAGGGAGGAAGTGAGGGGTGCAGGCAGAGAGGCTGACTGTCTCAGAGAGGGAATGCAGGACTGAAATTTGGAACCCAGAATACATTACATTCTTCATGTTGATAAGCTTGAGAGGAAGAGGAAAAGGCAGAGATGACCTGGTCCTGAGGGGGAAATCAAGGGAAGGGTTCACTTTTTCTTTTTTTGTTGTTTTGTTTTTGTTTTTGTTTTTGTTTTTGTTTTTGAGAGATTTTCACTGTAGGGCGCGTGTGCTCGCCAGACAGACAGAGAGAGACATAGAGACAGAAAGCGAGAAATCACCCCCCAGGGGGGATGGTCACGCCGCAATCCCTTCTCCTCCATTCTCCTCTCGGGATCTTGGGCACGCACGCACACACGCCCGGCGTGAGTTTTAAGCCACCGGGTCTGGGACACGAACCATGGTCGACTACGTGGGAGTCCAGTGACATAACCATTACGCTAACTGCTGGTTCCCACTTTTTCGTGTTTTTTTGAGAGGTTTTTTCGCTATAGGGCACATGCGCTCGCCAGACAGACAGACAGAGACATAGAGACAGAAAGCGAGAAATCACCCCCCAGGGGGGATGGTCACGCCGCAATCCCTTCTGCTCCATTCTCCTCTCAGGATCTTGGGCACACACGCACACGCGCCTGGTATGAATTTTAAGCCACCGGGTCCAGGACGCAAACCACAGTCGACTACGTGGGAGTCCAGCGACATAGCCATTACGCTAACTGCTGGTCCAAGGGAAGGGTTCACTTTTAAGTGAGGTAGACCCTGAAAAAAAAAATATGTAGTGTTCAGGCTACCATATGACAGAAATCTCAGAAAAAATGATTAGTCAGGATCCTCACCCAGTGATAATCACTTGTCCGCTGTGGAGACACTGGTCCTTGTGAGGTAGAAGAAATGAGCCCTGGGCCAGGGCTTCTGCCTGGCTCCACCCTGCTCACTGCATACTGTCAAGCAAGTCATTTAGTTTCCTTGGGCCTGCTTTTTTAAACTGTAAAATCAGATTTACACCACACAACAGCATTGTCATGAGAATTAAAGGAAGCGAGGGCACTGGAAGATGTTTCAGAAAGTGTTTGAGGTAGCTCTCTCATTTCTCAGGCAATTCCACACTTTGCTCTGATAATGACGAATGTGCACATTGCCAGCCTTGGGTCAGGTAGGTTCTCAAAGTCTGAGGCAGTGGTCCAGACTGGATCAGTCCAGAGAGGCCCTGCCTTTCTCCACCCCAAGGGCTAAGAGGCTCCATGGATGACCAGTTCTCTTTATTCCCATTTAGATAGGTCCCTAAGTAGGTTTGCTAGATGTAGAAAATAAAAATAGAGCCTGCCCAGGTAAATATGAATTTCAGGCTAACAAGAGGCATATTTAGCACAAGTATATCTCATATAATATTTGGAATATATTTATAATTTTAAAATTAACTGGGTGCACTATATTTTATATGCTAAGCTTACTAGAGACCAAATGCTCTCTCACCCTCCTTGACTGTAACTAATATCCACCAGCAGCTCGATTCCTGATGGGCAGGCAGGAAGCAGTACCACAGCAAGTCAGCACCCCATTCACATCATCTTCTACTTGTGCTCCAGGAAAACCTTGTATTGGGTCATCATCAGCAAAAGATATGACTTTTCCAACTACCTACTAGAATGCTTACATCCCCAACCTCCACCCTATTAGGAAACACATGGGCACTGTGTACTGACAACAGGTCAGTGAGAGGTGGCACCTATGGCTTGGCATTGAATTCATCCTCCATAATCTTTAAGGATTTGAGTTCTTTGAATTTCCCAGAGCTAAATTCAAATCCCACCTATGCTGCTGACTACCTTTCTCAGTCTCACTTTTCTCATACAAAATTCAGGAACAATGACATTGTCCATAGGGACTATAAAGATAAAATTAAATGACGGCCATCTCACTGCAAGGCACAGTAAGTTCTCAATAAACAGCAGCAATAGTCACTGAGGGCAATGCTAATATTATTATCAAAATTGTCCCAAACTTGAATTCCTCCCCCTTTCTCCTTCCTCATTAATTTAATTGGGGGGAGGGAGTAAAGTATGACTTTATTTTGGTGCCAATAAATTTGAAGTTCACACAGGTTTATTTTTTCATATTTAATCTCTGTATATATTGATGTTGTATAACATGGCTTTTCCCAGCATGAATACAGTGCATAGTAGTCAAGTCAAAGACATTACCATATACATTACCTCAGTATGTCTTTTAACTCGCAGGCTACAAACAGCTCCTCAAATATATTCTATTTTTAAAGGCTCTTGGATCCTTCACTTCAAACAAAGATCTTCGGTGGGTTCAGTCAGTTCAGATATGGGGCTCTGGAATGCTGAAATATCTGGTAGGTGGTTTCCATCAAAACAGGCCAGTAAAGCAAGTCCCTGGAGGAAGTGCAGGTGGGAGAAGTGGGTGAGGAATTATCTGGGAGGTGGTAATCGGGGCCACACCAAGGGCCTGGGGCAGGTTGGGGGCCCTTATAAAGATTCTAGGAGAGGCTGCTGACAGACCTGCGCTCAGCCTGCTCTCCCAGGGTCCAACTTGCCCCTTCTGGTAAGTGGGATTGCATCTATTCTCTTGGGATCTCCTGGGCTCTTTTCTTCTTCTTGAACTGCCTTGAGCAGCTAAGCCAAACTCCTCTCCTGTTCTTGGGTAATCTGGGAAGTGGCCTCAGTCTCTTGACAATTAAAGAATGTCTTCTCATTGTTACCTAGGAAACTCAATCTCCATTTCATATCAATTCTGGGTATGACTTATTTCTTAATTATAGGTTTGACTCTCTGAAAGGGGACTTGCCTTCTCTCATGGAGAGGGAGATATTTTGAGCTGTAACATTTCATAGCAATGCTGAGCCTCCTCTAGGGTGCCTCATACCCTATTGCACCTTTTGATCCTACCAACAAGTTTTAAACACTGCCTTTGGATTTACAGAAATAGGAATGTTGAATATTGTATTTTGTACTAAGCAGCTTCCATGTCTCACATTTGCATTATCACCTCTTCACTTTCTGGAGCCTATACTTCCTATTTATAACCAATTTAGAAGATGAGGAACATTGTCTACAAAAAAAAAAGATAGAGACACACATCAGAGCTGGGAAGGCCTCATAAACCTTACAGACCAGCATCTTCCAGATAAGGGAATGGAGAAAATCCAGAGAAGACAGATTGCCCAGAGGTATGCCTGGCCAGTGAGAGGCAGGTTTGCTTCTGAGCCCTCTTAGCTAGTGCTCATTCCTTTGAATCAGGTTCTCTTGATAAAACACCCCTCTGTGGTCCTTTGCCTTCAGTGATCTACTTGGTCCTCAAGTTCTCCAGTTCTCCAAGGAGGGCAAGAACCACTAACCTATGGCCACTTTAAATGACTTGCCTTAGCATCCCATGGTATGTCAGGGATGGAGTGGGGATTACAACTCAGGCCTCTGCATTCATGGTACATCCTTTCTCCAGCTGCTTCACTTATATGCCATGGCATTTCTCTCTAAGACAGAGACTCTTCTGGGCCTCTCCCTTGCACCCTTGCCTCCTCTCCCATATTCATTGTCAGCATTTTCCAAGGTAGTTGATTCATACTGCCCAGATCTATCAGCTAAGATTGCATCCTTTGATCTCATAAAATGTCTGATCTACATTTCAATCTTCAACTCAGCACCTACCTTATTTCCTGGTAAGACTGAGAAGTACATTACATATTCAGTTAAGTCAGGAGTCCATGGGAGGGTCAAGAAATATAGGAAGTCAGGACAGCATACAGGAAGGAAGAAAGGGAGAGAAGACACATGAGTGTGTATGTGAATTAATCCATTAATAAATTGGAGGCTGTTAATCACCTATCATGTCCTTGACTGTTGGAGGAAAACACTCCTCTAGGAGTCAGAGGGAGGAGAGGTGGGAAAGCCCTTCTCATGGTGTCCCTGTGCAGGTTTCTTTCAGGCTCACCTGTTCCTGGAGCAATGTCTTCCCAACAGCAACAGCAGTGCCTACCCCAGAAGGCTCAGCAGCAGCAAGTGAAGCAGCCCTGCCAACCACCCCCTGTCAAATGTCAAGAGACGTGTACACCCAAAACCAAGGATCCATGTGCTCCTCAGGCCAAGAAGCAATGCCCACCCAAGGGCACAACCATTCCAGCCCAGCAGAAGTGTTCTGCAGCCCAGCAGGCCCCTAAGAGTAAACTGAAGTAAGGATGGACTGGAAATTGGCACCTGCCCACCATCCAGGCGACTAGATGGAGCCTTTTCTTCTACCTACCCCTCTTCCCTCCAGCTTTAGGAGTTGCCCACTCCCATTTCTTCCTAATCAGGACTCAGTGAAGCAGTGTAAAGATTTCTTTCCATTAAACACCCCATCATTTACATCCCCTGATGCTCTCACAGGTGGACATGGGAAAGACTTCACCCTCTCCAACCTCCAGCTTGGTCACTGCTATGGCTGAATCTATGTCTCAAAGCAAAGAGGGTATCTGGGCTTCTTCTGGGGTTCCACCCTGACACATGAGGACACCAGAGACTGATCCACAGCTTCTGTCTCATTATTCTCCTCAACACTTTCCTCTCTGACTTCTCTCCTATTTCCTTCTCTAATAAATTTATGCTTCATGTAATAAATTTGTCTGTTTCTTGGGTCAACTGCCCTTCCTCACTCCCATTCTCATTCTGCAGTCCATTCATTGGTTCAAAGGCAATGTTTTGGGGAAATGAGGCACAGGACATATGCACTCCAGAGTTCAGGAAGTCATCCTCATGGGCAGGTACTTTCTGGTAGCTAATGATGGGGGAGGTTCAGATCCTGATACATTTCAGGTAAAGACGTAGAGGTGAGGACAAGCCCAGGCACCAGTTGGCAAGAGTTGAGAGACTTGGTTAACTGATTCCATTTAGGGAAGGTCAATTGGTGGTGAAGTTTAGCACCTCCCATTAGAAGCTCAGCCCCCTTGATGAATGTGGTTTTACCTTGGAAGTTGTCATTCTGAAAAAGCAGCCAAAGCATACATAAATGACTTGAATATTATAAAACATGTCTACAAATACATGTAGATGATTTTTCATGTATTTGTTTATTTATTGTTTATTCTTTAACTCACTCATTCACATACTTAACCAGTCACTCAACTAATATTTAACAAATTCTAGAATGAGCTAAGGTTTTCACTCTGCCATGTCATGTTTTCCAGAGCTATCCTGAGACATCCTATCCCAAATCCCATCTATTCTTTGGAAGGAAAAGTCAAA